CCTCACTAGGAAAACAGCTACAAAACTACTTTGCTTGGAGGTGAGAAGAGGGAAGACAGATGGGTTTTTTTTTTTCTCGATTTTTGTTTGGTTTAAGGTATTTGATACAAGCCTGCCACAGGAAGAAGGAACAAGAACTGATATGCAGAATCAACAGATAGCTACCCAAATGTCTGTCCTGGCATTTTGCCAGTTTTATATGACTCACACCGACAATATTTTGATTAACAAGCTTTGGAAGGAGTTCAATATTTTATCCATTATAAGACCCATGACACATACTGTAAAAACACTGGGGTCTACTGTAGTTTGAYAAGAACATGTCAAGCTGGTTTCTGGGTTTTGTCAGGTATGAGAATTTGCTTCTTTAGAAGCCTGTTCACAGGCCCACTCATCCTACAATGGGATATGCTGCAAAAGGAGCAAAAAAGAAGAAAGCAGGCAAAAGCAATTTAAACCATTTCACAGTCTTCTCCACAAGGCTCTGTTCTAATCCCTTGCCCATTCTGTGGCTGGAAAGGAACAACCAGAGTAGAGAGGGCCCTACAGCAAACACAGACATCTCATTCATTTCTACAAATAAAACACTTCCAGAAAATTGGCCATGAATCATTGCGTTTGTCTTTACCACGACTCAAAATGTGACTGTATAAATAAAAGTAGCAAAGCTGATATTCACCAACCTAGCTATAAAATACACTACATCAAGCAAGATACGGTGATGATTCTGCCTGTGGGCAACARTGAATTCTCAACACTTCCCTGATGCTGTTCCAGCAAACCCCACATAAGTACATTAAGTTGTTAATGCGTTATGATCACATATCCATGTGGCACCAGAAGGTSAGCAGGTTTTCTTTGTAAATACATTTTCTCAGGTGATTTATCAGCAGTGGTTTAAACAAAAGAGAACCACTTGCCTGCAAAGGAGCATTTTTCATCCCTGCCCAGARCAAGTTTCAAAGGTTTGCCACTGGAATACCACCACGCAAGTGGCTGATCCAGCATTCACAGTGGTGATGGAAACTTTTGTTAGCCAATGATTATGGAAAGACAGCTTCAGCCACTCCAACCATGGCTTCCTAAAGTAAAGTGGCTGCTGACAGGTAGAGCGTCTGCTCTGTTCACAGCTGATCAGCACTGAGCCCTTTCTATGCCTGAACCCTTCTGCCCTTCTAATTTTCCTCTCTTTGCAGTCATTTGAACACTAAATTCAGATCTACCACAGTAAGATGATCCATCAATTATTTTCTGTAAAATGATAATTTCACTAATTTGAAACACCCTGACTTCTCAACCTTCCTGACCTTTAACAAACAGTCAAGCRTGGTTATAAATACAGTGGTAATAAAACCAAAGAGAAACCTGATTTTGTCACAGTAGATGAGAATAAACAGTGGCACATTTAGACAGTTTTGAAAACTGAATAAGCAGGCAACAAATGAAAGACTGCAAACACTTCTACACCTTTTACGCATTCGGCCTTGGAAGCTCTTATTAGCTCTCCTCTGTCACTTCTTGAAAAAAAAAAAGAAAAAGAAAAAAAAGAGTACACAATCCCTCCCAAACTGCAGATATGACACAAATGTTATACACAACAAAATATTAGATGTTTAACCCTCAACACAGTCCAATCTTCCCCAGTGCAGGCATTCTGCAGCTGCATGAAGTCTGAAATGCAAAATTAATAAATCTGTATATGAGGAAACAAATCATTCGCATGTCCAGTCAACTTCCTCAAAAAGCCATCTACAATTCTTAGCATCCCAGGAGCCCKGAGAGCCTGCAGAGCTTTGGGGACAGAAGGGATGTGTCCTGGGCACACATGCCAAGGAACTCAAACCAATCACCTTTCTAGTTACAYCAGGTTTGTCTACTTCAACTAATTCATGGTAAACTCAGCCCATCTGTTTACAAGTCTGCATTATAATTTTAGCCAAATGGTTCTGGTTGACTACACTAACACTGGAGTAAATAAAAACACAACACTACTGCCAGAGAACAAAACAAACACACAGTCAAAATTGAAAGATAATGGGTGAACAAGTGACAAAGAACAGTAAATATTAATCTTACATCAGGCTGAAAGCCATAGCAAAAAAATAAATGAAACCGATATGAAGCAGTAAGGCATAATAAAGCAACCACTCTAATCACTAAACATGTACATGTGTTTATCTTGTTATCATACAGGTTTTAGCASACAAATTTTTTTTCACAAAATGTCCAAGAGCAACCTCTCTGATAACACTAGGAGATAAAGTTCTGAGAAAGACTTAAATTAGAGAACTACTGCAAAAACAACTCAGTGCAGAGAGATTCAAAACAGCTTTGCAGTAGAAAATGCAGATGATTAGTATGGCTTTTCTCCATACATTATGTAATTTTATTTACAGAATATCAAAAAATAAAGGAACATGTAAAAACAGCAATATCAKGAAAAACATTGGTGTGTTCGCTCTAAAACAGTTGTCATTTTACTACCTCAAAAACATTTCTTACAAGTACAGGTAAGTTTCACTTCTTGTACTATACTAGTTAACTGTTCAGCTGCCAYTAGCAAAGCAAAATTGAAGTTATTGGACCACTCACAGTGGTTGCTTTTTCACTCACAGTGAAAGGTTTTTTTAGTTTTCATTGCTCTCCTGATACAGTGGAAATCTATCATATATTCCCTTAAGTATTTCTTYATCTTTAGATATAATTGCTATCAATAGTTATAAGAGGGAGATATGTGAAAGAGCTACAGAGCTACTTAAATCTCAGTGGGGAAAAGCATACAAAAATAAAATTATCTATTATATGAAGAATTATACAGAAACCCTATCTTAAGAAAGTATCACATGCARAAGCTTCAAGCGCTCTGTTTAAAGTCTAATAATGCTTACCTCAAATCAGTTACAGGAAGAAAAAATAGAAATGCAAAACCATACCTYCAGATACAGCTTCGTTTTGGATTTATTAAAATAAGTCTAAAAGTCTAACATATAAAATACATACATGCCAGCTTTTTTATCTTAGAAAATATTACAAAGCTTTACCAAGTTTCACTTCTAAAGTGAAACGATATGGTAAACTTTGCCAGTTGATAACGCTCTAAATACAAAACAGAGCCAAGAACATCAAAGCAGATCTAATCTCCTCTGTTAGATTAGATAAAAAAATCTAATCTATAGCAAGATGAAAAAAGTTTCTTCTATATCTTAAATTACATAATAAGACAAAAAGATGTGTTGCTATACCCTTCCTTTAACTCTGCATTTTGGAAGGAAAAAAAAAAGCCAAAAACCAAACAACCAAAACCAATCAAAGTAATCCAATTTAAGAAAGAAAAAAATATCATACCTTTAAGTCAGAGCTAAGCTTTGAACTTCGCTGGYAAATTTCAGTGTCATTGAAACTACTTAAATTCATATCTTAAATATCAGCTGTATTTCAGAACTTTTGCTTTGTTAGTACAGCTCATTATTTGCAGCACTTCAACATACTTCAATACTTGCAAAAGGCCTAACTTTGCAAGAAGAAAGTCATATATATTTGAAATATATATACGCATATATTGCTGAATTGCATCCATGTGTTTCTCCTACCTTTCCAGTGTTATAGCTGTTCCTCCCACACCAGTTTTCTCCTTGTGATCATTCAGTTAAGTCTCATGAAAAACTTCAGCAGCAAAATGGCAAAACACAAACACCAACAGAAATTTTGTCTATCCTGGCTTTCTGGTCAATTTTCTGTGTGCATGCCTTTCACCCTTCCCCTTCCACCTCACTGTACCGGATCTATTGTACAGAACAGGGAAGATGCTCCAGCACYTCCTAACTGTGGTGTGCTTGCTCCAGTAAGATACAACCAGTCACAGCATAAAAAAAAATAGAGAAACCTCACTCACACATTCTCCTTAAGCTGTTTCTAGAATTTCTTGGTTGTGAAAAATAACTGAAGTAATCAGAACAACCCATGGTACAACAAACAGTCAAAAAAAGAAATTCTGTGTGCTGTCCTCATCCAGTCTTTCCTCCCTGCAGCAAGCTTACAGTACCAACCCAAGAAAGAGCTGGCACAGCATGCCAAAATTGAATCAGGCCTATGGTGCAAGCCACATTTCTTGCTCCTAATGTTCCAGGTGAGACAGGATTCCTCTCAGTTACAATTACACATGGTATATTTGCTTCGTTTTCTGGTGATTTCAGTCACCTTCCTGCTCTGTTGACTTCAGTTTGATACTAAACAAAAATGAAACAAATGATGCCTTAGATATGAGTAGCACCATAAAAGAATGTGCATTTGCCAGCCATACACAGAGACTTCAGAGCACTCTAGCTAATAAATAATGATGTGTTCAAAGAAGATAATAAAAAAATCAGGCATAATAATTCAAGGAAATATTGTTGAAACAACAAAAAAAATATTGCATCTACCAATTCAGGTCTCTATCAGCAATCCCCTTGTCACATATTGAATTTCCTCAGCTACCTTGCCAACAAGTTCCATCTGTTTTCTTCTGGATTGTTTATGCTTGCAACTATTTTGTACACAGACTACTGAAAGCAAAGTTATCTCAACACAATGGAAAACATATCCCATTGACTGTTTCAGGGGAAAGAGACGGGTTGAACTTCTTCACTTTCAGATGTTTGCATGTAGACAGTTCCTGAATAAAGAAAAAGGAACTGACTACAGCAGGCAGAAACATTTTTTAACATAAACTTCTGCTTTTGCTACGTCAGACACTACTTAACCTCTACCTAGGAGATATACACAGGTGATTTAGAGACCACTGCTGTGGTTTAATCTAGGATAGACTAAATGCAAAAATTAATTACTACTCAGTAATTGAATTCATGTGGAGGAGTTTGAGTATTTCTTGCCTCCRTGACAGGAATAATTATTAATGCATAGAACATCACAAAAATGCTGTGTTGTTCTCTGGTTTCCTCCAAAACTAGTTTTTAATTACCAAAATAGACCAATATTCTTAATCATGTTTTTATCCTTACCTCAGCCTTTCTTCTTCTTTCTTACGAAGGCTGAAATCTCGCTGAACCACCTGGAGCACATGCTCTGCTTCTTCATCAGTCAAGCCAGAAAGGTCCAGTTTTCTCCCCATTATACACAGCGTCCTGGATATGAGTAACTATAWGGAATATCTGAAATCAGAAACAGAAAATAAAATAGAAAAAATTGAAAGCACTCATATTTTTCACAAATGTGTTGGGGTCACAAGCACATCTGCCCAACAAAAAAAAAAAAGTTGCTGCTATAAATATCATTAAACAATTGTATTTTTGTGGCTGGAAAAGACCTTTCATATTGAGTCCAACCATTAACCCAGCACTGCCAAGTCCACCCCTAAAACATGTTCCTAAGTGTCACATCTGCACATCTTTTAAATACGTCAAGGAACAGGAACTCAGCCCCTTCCCTAAACAGCCTATTCCAATGCTTAGCAATYCTTTCAGTGAAGAAATTGCTCCTAACATCCAATGTAAACTTCCCTGACAGAACTTGAAGGATTCATGTAAGAATTATTTGCCAGGTTCCATGCACTGAAAGCAATCACCCCCAACTTAAAAATACATGAAAAAGATAAATTATTTGGGATATTAAGAGATATTGAGGACAGACCTCAGTGTTGCTCTCAAAAAGGAACATGTTTAACTAAGTTGGGTCAAATCAGGCTTAGGCATTTCTTAAGATTTTACACCATGATTTTATAAAGCTGATCACAGTGCAGTCTCTGTGACTGAGTATGAACAGAGAACATAACTCTGCTGTAACACTCAAAAATATTTTACACTGCCAGCTAAGAAATCTGTAATTATTTTAAAGCACCATTTWAAAAAGTAAGCATATCAATTTCAAATGCATTTCCCAGAATGACTGGAAAGATTTAGATGTCAGTATTACCATTATATCATTATTTCCCCATATTTGAAGGAGARAAAGTAGTAGTTAATGTTATGTGTGAATTGACGATACTATAAAGTTWGAACTAGAGCTCAGTCCATTTAATTCCACTAATGAAATTTGTTCTAATTTATTTTCTCATGACTTTTATTCATTCAATTGAATTCTAGTAAACCCAGCTCTCAATATTAACTTTTGTCATTTGATTTATGCAATTATCTGAGCAATCACAAAGGTGTCCATCTCTGCGTCGTGTTACGGTTTCAGAAGCATGAGACAGTTTTTGCACCTCTGTTGTGAGCTCCCAGCAATGCATGTAATAACCACGAACACACTACAGTTCCTACACTGTATAGAAGAGGCAATTATTACTGCTTTTTTATTCATGGTGAATGCCARGTACATGAAGCTATGTAAAGCATCTGAGCTGGTTCTGGCTCYAAAAAACCCCACCTCTAAGCAACACTGCTATGGCATACTATTAAGCGCTCCAGGTTCTATAGCAAGTAGAAACAGGGGAGAAAAAATAGAAAAAAAATCTGCTTTATTTTCTAGACACAGAAATTCATTTACTACTCAGCTAATGATGTGGGATGTGGTTGGTTGGGTTTTGTTTCGTGTTTTGGTTAGTTTGGTGGAGGGGTTTTAAATACAATGTTTACCTTTCTACAATCATCTGATTACTGTTCTTCAAACAAGAAAAACACACCCACATGGAAGGAAGGCACCGCCTATTTTTTCTGTTTTGGTTAGGCTATCCATGAAGTTGAGAATAAAGTCTTTGTTCAAGTAAATAACACTTCACCAAAACCAAGCTGGTGTACAATCTTGGAGGAAACCATGAAGATCCCTCCAACAAGACATACGCACACCATACAGCTAAAAAAAAAGGTCACAATGTTCTGGCTTGACTCARAATCTACTGAGGAAGATGATAAGGAGTATTTAATAAAGGCTAWATAAAGGTACTTCTAAACAAAATTACCCTGATTTGTGTGGAAGAAAAGTGCCAAAGAAACAAAGTACTATATACAGTCTTCATTAATCTCACTTGCAAGACCAACAACATACATTAAAATTACAGACTGGCAAGATTTTCTTTTCAATGCTATGCATGTGCATAAATCTTCTCAAAATTTTCACCAGAATATTAAGATTTTCCTCTGTCCTTTCACCTACAGTCCTTGCGCCACAACCTCACTCAGCACTGGAGGGAGAAAGAAGGGTGAAGTAGGGCTTGCTGAGGTTACACTTTCATTGCAGCTCAAAGACACAACAAGAAGTGCCCTGGGACACATCCTTCCCTTCAGGCTYTGGAATATCTGCTCAGCTCCTGAGTGCAAAGGCATCTCTGACTTTCTAAAAKTATGGAAGGGCTTCACTACAGGAAAGCCACATCCATGAGGAAGTAAAATTTTTCCAAGTAATTTTTTTTCACACACATACACTAAAGGGGAAAATACATGATACACAGTAAAAGGAAATAAAACTTTTTTTAAGTGATTCCTGGAGCCAGCTGAGACACCTTTATGTGACACTAGGGCTATAGTCTTCTGAGACACACAACGATTAAGATAACTGGAATTTCTCCTAGTATCTTGAGCACCAAGCTAAAAACTATAATTAACATTTTAAAAATTAGTTCTCCATTCAGGTCTTTGTCAAATGCTTTTGGAAATGATGCAAAAATAAATCTTTTTTTCACACAGGAGAACTGGGCCATCAGTGAAAAAAAATTATACCCTTGATTCAGCAGTTGCCCCTGCTGATTGTAAGCATGTACTCAAAGGGGGACATTTACCSCTAAATTTYGGAGTAAGTGGGCAGCCCCACGCCYTCTGATTTTCTGGAGTTGGCAAAGACTTCATTTCAAGTATATATGGTTTAGAATCACACACAATTCTAACTTCTGATTTTCATGTGGTTTATTTCCCTACAGTATTCTCAGTCTCCATTCCAATATTTCATTAACCTCTAWGGAACTCCTGTGTTTTTTCCCAGGAAATAATTTTTCATCACATTACTAAATCACCTCTGATCTGGGAGTATCACAGCCGTTTATAAATATTTATAAACAATTCTCAAACGTYCTTTTTGTGGTAAATCTGGATTATGCATTTTGGAAATACATAGTGGCAAATCCTCTGGAGGAAATGTAACWAATTACACTTAAAACTAGACAACAAATAGCTGCTCAGTCTAAAATAACTTCTGGCTTMAATTAAAATAACTTATATGAGGTTGTTCAGATGTTTGCCTTCACGAGTAATTCTTTGGTAAATCTCAAACTGAATTAAAAAAAAATCTAAGATTTCACAGACTTTACAAGGAATAGTACCATACCCTAGAAAACTTTTGCTCCACAAATTAAAACACTGTAACAGGAAAGCCTCAAGCTTACAAGACACGATTGGGTATTGTTTSAGTAACACTCTAATTTTAATACTTCTTACAGTCTATTTTAAAATCTAATTAAAGCTTCCAATTGAAAACGTTTCTTCAGTTTAAGCTTAAAAACAAAACAAAATTCCAACAAAAAGAAAAATAAGCAAATGAAATGTTTTTTCAAGAACTGCAAGCAATGCTACTGAATTTTAACATGAACAAGGGCATCAGCACAAGAAAAAAGGGCAAATAGTGCATTTCCTAGTCACCCATAAGGCAGCTAAGCTCTTTGGACTTAGAGCCTCAGCAGATGATTAGCATTACTGGGGGAAGAGGAGAAAAAAAAAGGGTTTGGGCTAAGACAGATTTAAGACAGATTCGGTGCTTGACAAAGAACCACATTATAAAGTTAATTATGTAACTGGTCACACTGAATATTGTACAACACAGACTTCTTAGTTTYATGCTGCAGCGAAACAGTCAGCACTAGGGAGGCTGCATCTGGAGTTTTGTGTCCARTTTGGGCTTCTCCAGARCAAGGAAGATGCCTAAGGCCACAATGATGGTTAAGGGGATGGAGYATCTCTCACRGGCMGTGATGCTGGGAGTACAAGGACTGCCCAGCCTGGAGAAAAGAGGGCTTACAGGTATGTACTGTGTGTATCTGGAAGACAGCCTCCCAAACAAGAATGTCCTACAATTTTTTTCCCTGTCTGAGCACGTTTTTCAATGTTTCCCAAGTTTCCACAACACAGTATAAGTTTTTCTTTAAAATGCTGCTTATGTGCATTGRTGAAACGTGATACCTGAGGAATCAAGACCACAAACTCCCTCAACCCAGTTGTCTGCTCAGACTTCCCCCACATGGTCTCAGCTTTAGAGTTACCAAACTTTTCACCAGAGCTTTTCTACTCTATTCAGCTACTCTATCACTTTTATATTTTTCAGGCAGAAAATCAAGAAGAAGAAACCTACTAGTAATTACATCTTTGRTCCTGTCACCAACAAACTCATCTTTACTTCCTTCAGCAGCCTGTCAGGACCCAAATAATACTGCTCAATCTTTCTTGTCATTCTTTCTAGAATTCTTTTAGTACCACAAGAAATTCCTTGTATAATCTTACTAGTGAACTTTTTTCCYTTTATCATGCAACAAGAGACTCACCTTTCTAAGCCAAAGAGGAAGACAAGCACTTTTCCCTCAACAGACCTCCTTCACCACCCCTTATATTTTAAAAGGTTTTGTTKACCGAGTTGTTTCAAAAGAAGTGGCCACATTGCCCACATGAGGTCATTATGGTAATTTTTAATGCAAATGTCACAACGTTTAACATACAAATTACATAACGTCRCACACTCTGACAAATATAAGGTGACAAAAATAATGTCTGATTAGTATTTCAAGCTATGTCAACACAATTGAACAAAACAGACTTTAGCCAAAATCCCACATTTAAAAAACATTGCTGTCCAAACTAATTTCTACTACAGCTATCATTATTTATTATTATTTATTATTATTTATTATTATTATTTATTATTATTATTTATTTATTATTATTACTACTATTATTATTTATTATTATTATTATCATTAAGTCTAAATGAGGCATAATTAAGATTGGTCACAAATTTCTTAGTATTTTTTAAACTCCCAAGAATGTCTAGAAGCTGCAGTAAAAAACACTAGGTATTCTTCTCTTTACACCAGAAATGAACAAATGTCTTAGAATAAGAAGAGGGGAAATATACTCATCAGAAATAAAAAGACCACCTCTTCGATTGAAAATTAAATACAGCTCACCTGACTTCAACATGGGACTTGTATCTGGTGTGTCACCTTTTAAA